ACTACGTTCCCTTCCTTGCACCGCGCATTGCCAAATTCTTAGCAACGGAAACTAGTATCTAGGGCAGGGTTGTGTAATTGTTACCAACAAAAAGCTTTTCACTTCGTCTAGGTATCTAGGTAGACGGTAACACGGTACAATCCCAGACAAGAAAATTGGGCCAAGACTTACTAATTTTTCTTGACAAGAGTCAACATTCTTTGTGATTGTATATTAGCTACTGGTGCAGATCTGAGGTTCTGATAGCGATGAAAACGTCGATGCTACTCTTGTGGCTTGTTGCGCAGTGTGGATTTGTTGGCAGATATCAACATTCCGGAAGGACATACTGCCTCCATCTTCAAAGCTGCCGTGCATGATACTGGAGTCACCACATTCTATTCCCTGAACGCATTTGGTTAGTGGTACATTTAATGTGTTAAATTATAATTAGCGGTACGCCAGCGAAAAAGGTTGGAAACCTCTGCTTTAGAATATTTTGCATTGCCTCGAGTTGGCTGCAACCTGGCAGAGTTAGTGAGAGTTTCGTCACTGTCCAAGTGAGAGAACGCGCGGGAGGCCAAGGGGTTAAAGTTCAAGAGGCCCTCTGAACGTGACTGAACACTGATTAGCTATCCATCATCGTAACACTTCGACGTGTCGTAAGTGTTGATCTCAAGTCGTACATGTTCGGGGAAAACCAGGCATGTGGGGGGGGGGGGGGGGGGGGAAGTGACGAGTTGCTACTAGCCATTCTAAAAACATTCGTTCCACAACCACTGAATGAACAACAAACAGGCTTTCATTTGTTCTAATGGGAATAGCTTTAAGATTACCTCACAGAGGCACAGCGATTTAATCTAGAATATTATCAGAACACATTAGAGGTGCACTCACTACACGCTACTTGTAACGGCTTGATGTTTTCAGTCCACAGATCAGGAGAAAATCCCTGCTAGGAATTCGATATACGCGCATGCGCAAGGTTTCGCGGTGAGTAACGACCGATCCTAAAAGCATTCGTTCCACAACCACTGAACGAACAACAGACAACAGGCTTTCATGTGTTCTAATGGGAACAGCTTTAAGAATACCTCACAGTGATTTAATCTAGATTATCAGAACACATTACAAGTGCACTAACTACACGCTACTCTTAACTGCTTAATGTTTTCAGTCTGTGTAGTAGCGTAAAACTCTTGCCGTATCACACTTCCCACCAACAGCAGCCCTCTAGTCCACCTGATAAGAAACCCTCCCCATGCACAGCACCAGAAACGACTTCCAAGAGGCTGGTGGACAGAACCAGTTTAGTTCAATGTCATTGTCATACCAATAAAGACTGCCAAACCCATTAAGGGAAACAGTAGATTTTTATATGAAATCCTTAAGTTCATTGCCGTAGTCACAAAAGCTTACTATTCGTGCCCGTTCTGAGCAAGTTACATTCCATGCCACTCCTTCACTTCAAATTTCAGTTCCATTTTAATATTACCCTACCGTCAACGTCTTAGTATTGTAAAAAATGTTTTTTTCATGCGAGTAATCTCATCTTTCCCATCCGTGCTAGGTGTCCCGCCCATCTCATCCTTATTTATTTGATAAATAAGAATGATAATAATATTTGAAAACGTCCGAACCATGGAATCCCTGCAGCCTCTTTGGTCCAGAAACTTTCCCAGTTTCAGAACCTGGCTCGGAGAATGACAGTCCTGCCTCAGCTTTTGTGATTTTCCAAAGTCTCTCCAGACACAACCGGGGATATTTTTAAAAATTATTGTTACCAAGTGTTACTCTAAATTAAAATGCGTTTAATTCCTTTTGTTAATGTAATGGCAAGGAAACAGTGAACGGATTCTAAAGGACGTTTTTGCAGTCTTAAGAAAACCAATATAAATCCTAAAATTTAAATTGAATTTCTTCATTGCATTCACAATAAACTCTTTCGTCACTAAAACGCTTAATGCATAATGTTATTGAAAAAACATTAATTTCACTTTATTTTACGGCTTGTATTAGTTTGACATGTGGTAGTTTCTGATTTCTGGATTCTATTGTTGGTGATGTTTGCGACTTATGACTTGCAAGATCAAGGCGTTTCACAAATCCCAATTGCTAATTTCTTTCTAAGTGTTTTTGTACTTAGTTATTCTTTCGACGGAAGGCCACGTGGGCAAGTCATGATATTGTTTTCTGTTTTAGTCTTGTGGAGTTGCCTTTAAGATGGTCGAGATATTGCACGTGTTTCGAGATTGACACAGCTGTTGAGTTTTGTGTGAACGCAGGTGTACAGCCTAAAAGTGGGGTCTATTGAGTCAGAAGTGGTTTAATACAAGGGTCTCCAAACTTTTTTGGTCGTGCACCCTACTTAGTAAAAAAACGTAGCACGCACCCCCGGAACAAACAAATATTTAAGTGTAATTTTATTATATTAAAAAATAATTTACACGGTATGCATTTATATCTAGCATCACATCATACAATCACAAATAAAATTCAATACAAGAATACAAAACAAAATTAATTGAAATTATCTCGCGACCCCCACGAGCATCTCGCACACCCTACTTTGGAGACCATTGGTTTAATGAAGGAGACGATGGAGCGACAGAAGTTTGAACGCATGATTTGCATTCTTTATAATAAAATATATTTTAAGTCTGCATAACTACACCCCGTTAAGCGACCCCTCAGCAAACCGGTTCGAGACGGTGAAACGGTTAGAATAAATTATATTCAGGATATCATAGTAATTAATACAGCATCCCTTAGGGTACTTCCTCTCTGATATTTGGGACGATGATCTAGATGGACCTTGTCATCCCTTCATATATTGAGCACGGTTGAATTAATACAATTTCAGAGTTCAAATCCAATTAGTTAGGTTTTTAACCTGAAATGTACTGAAATGACAGTGTCAGAGTAATCTAAGTGCTGACTACATATATTCCACCTAATTCTTGTCTGAAAAACTTTTTTATTTTTCTAGTATCTTGTGACAGCGCGATTCTGGGTTCGAGCAAACAATAATTTGGTACGGGACACTTTGTGAAAGACCGAAGCCGGAAGTATGGCGCCAGGGTGCCGGTCGCAATCTGAAATTTGTAATTTAAAACAATTACTGTGTCGTTCTGTACAACTATAGCGGCGAGAGCGATTTGTTTTGAAGCAATGTCGTGTTAGGTCCGACATGCACGTCGAGTGGGGCTGATAAGACTATTTGTTCATTGTTCGAAAGAAACAACCTTCAAACCTCTGTCGAGACAGACTGTCTTCCGGCTGTGACTTGAGCACAGGAACTCCCGAACACGTGCCAATCACTCGGCTACGATATTGCTAGAGAGAGAAGAAAAGTCAACAACGAACGAGCAAGGAACAATAAAAGTTGCAGACAAAAACAGAAATTTGAAAAATGTATGAGGAAGGAACGTGGCAAATGGCTGCTTGAGCCGGAGTTCGAAGGCAGGACCAAAAGCTGATACGTAATTTGGTGGTCATTTTTTCAGTGTCTCGGTCATCCTGTGATTTGATATAAAAGTAACATCATCACTACGAATTGTTATAAATGTGATGGAGTGCACATCGGGCTACATGGTTTCCGCTGCCTTTGCGTTGTTGCCACGTGTAGCATGGCAAAAGTTTCCCAACGTCCCAGAGGTACTTGCTGCCTCGCCCTGATGAAGGACGCAAAGATTTTGTACGTTTGGTGACCGCTGCTCTAGAGTGTACGTAGTACGGGATCAGTTTTGGATAAAAAGAAGAACAGGAAACGACAATTCATTTCGGCAATATCCCAGAAGGGCTTTGTCGAGTATTTCGAAACAAGTTAACGAGATGTGAAGTTGCCTACAAGCACAAGGAAGTCACTTTGAACATCTTTTGTGATTTAAGGTAAGAACAATTAATGTAATAACATATATCAGCGACGAGAAACACTCGCAGCTCCCTGTTACTAGCGGCACTGAAACTGATTCGCTTGCGACTCACGGGAAGAACCCTGCCCTAGGCCAACTAAATCCAGTCGCCTGACATTATCCTCCCATCTACACCTAGGTCTCCCTAACAGTTTCTTCCCAACAGGCTTACCAACCAATACCCGGTGCACATCTCTTGTCCCATCCATGTGCGCTACATGCCCCACCCATCTCATTCCTCTCGACTTAATCACCCTGACAATACTGGGGGAGAACAAATTTTAAAGCTCACCATTATAAAGTTTTCTCTATACCCCATCGTCTTCTCATCTAGGCCCAAATATCCTCAACACCCTGTTCTCAGACACCTACAATCCATGTTCCTCCCTCAGAGTGAGAAACCATATTTTGCACCCGTACAAAACAGGCAAAATTATTGTTTTTGTATATTTTAATCTACAGCTTCTTAGAAATCTGATGGGAACACAAAATATTTTTATGAAGTAAACTGTTCTCTGGATATTAACCATCCTCCAATACTAAATAAAATCAATATAAGCCTATCTCCATCCTCAGGTAAAACCTAATCTGTTGGACCCAATCGATACAGCTAATCCCTATTTTGAATTGAGAAGTAACACATATTTCCTGAATTTAATCTCCTCCTAACTTCCTCATGAGTGTCATTTTCATTTGTTATTGTTGTTCCCAGATATTTGAAGTTTGTAACCCTTTCAAAGGATTTATTAGCCACCCTAAGATAATTTTGCCCGCCTGTCTTCTGATGACGAGATACTAACATGTACTTAGTTTTCTGAATTTACTTCTAGCCCCACCTGTCTACTACCCTTTAGTAAAACTTCTGCATTCCTCTTTATTGTATTCATATCGTTCCCCAATAAATTAAGATCATCAGCATATGCCAATAGCTGATGTGTCCCATTCAATTTCAAACCCTCCTTACGTATCTTGGACTTTCCTGATGGCGTATATTCTAGCGCAAAGTTAAACAGCAAGGGAGACAAAGCATCTCCTTGTTTCAGACCGTTCTTGATGTGGAATGTCTCAGATAAATATTTAAGTACTCGAATTTTGCTACAGGTTTCATTTAAGCACATTTTTATTAGACTCACTAGATTCTTTGGTTTACCAAATTCAATGAGAATATTGTGTAACACTTTTCTTTTAACAGAGTGGTAGGCTTTTTAGAAACTTTTAATTAATTGATGTACTGTCTCATCTTTTCTCTAACAGCTGACAAATGCAAAAGATCTGATCAATCGTTGATCTGTTACATCTGAACCCACACTGATGACTCACAAATTCATCAATAATTGACAGGAATTTGTGTACGTAAATTATTATTTTAATGGCCTTTTATATCAGTTATATATAACTCATATACTTCATTATGACCAATTGTATTTTTATTTCATTGAATTTGGTGAAATAGTTCCTAAGATATTATATAATTGTAAAAGTTTGCATATAAAAACTCACCATTCTGCATACTCAAAGCAGCTTCCTCCCATACAGGCAAGCACACAGGATAACTGCTACACCAAACTGGAAAGGAAAACAGATATAGCAAGATAATTATTTTAACATGAAGGAGTTACATTATTTTAATGGCCCCGTATATCAGTTATATATAACACTGTGTTTTACTTCATTATGTCGTAAATGACCTCTCTATTCTGTTGAACTTGGTGAAATACTACCCGAAATATTAATTTTATTGCAAAAACCTACAAATAAAAACTTACCTTTCTGAATACTCAAAGCTGCTTCCTCCCTCATAGGACAACAGCTCCACCGCACTGGAAACCAGATACAGCAAGATAATTAATTATTGTAACAAGACGCTTTTATGCATAAAAGGAATATTAAGTTACAAGTGTGCGCCTCAGCTTTTCCAGCACTTTCGGCGTTCTCTACATATTCACATTCCATAATTCATCAATACTTGACAATAACAAATGTACACAAATTTTTATTATTTCAATGGTCTCTTACATCAGTTAAATGTAACACTGTTGTTCCTTGAGTGGGCGTATGTCCCACTACAGTGAACTATTTCTTTATTAAAACACACTTCAAACTCGTATAAAACTTCCACCAACCTTGCCTCGACGAAGAACAACGCGGAACAGGACAAGAAGCTAAGGTTACAGTCGTACCAACATTAAACATCGTACAATAGCTACGGTTACATAGCTGCCAACATGAACACCGAACATTCCGCCTACATTGACGGATGTCAACATTTACTACAAATTACATAACTTGTAAATCCAAATTGTTCAATTGTAAACAAAACAAAAAATGATGTGTAAGTTGAACGATATTCGTATTCATCGGTCACTAAAACATATACTTATTCACACTTAATTTGTTTAAAGCCCCTTTCACTAGTCATGTGCAAGTGGACACAGTTTATTTATGTCACCCTTGCAACTTTAACTGTCGCCAATCTTGTGTTGCCGTCTCTTCCTAGATGCACTGCTTTGACCTTGGGTGGCAGCCCGTCCTCTCGCAATAGCCCCACCTTGATGTTACGATTTTCAAATTTCCATTTTACTCGTTGTGAAGTTCATTGTGATACTCCTTGGAACAACGTTGCCAGAAATGTTGCAACATTTGCTGCAAATCCTGCCATCTGCTGGGTTACCGCACACGTTTAGAGAGAGAGAGTGAGAGTGACTCGGCTAGCAAGAGACGATGTCTTTTCCGCAGGACTCCGCCCTTACGTCGGTCTACCATATAGTCTGTGAGATAATGGAGCAGTTGTGTGGTCATGCTTTGCTTCGCTTTGTGCGTCTTGGACCCAGGTATTAAATCAGAATATTCATTGCAGTAAGGAAACTGAGGTGAACGTTATGGTTTCGCTTTTATCATTCGGTTATCCTTTAAGACGCTGCAACGTAAGTTGATGTTTTTTTTTGCTGTTTGAGGTTGGGATGAGTTTGCGAAATGTTGTGCAAAAGGGTTGGGGGGGGGGGGGAATGCGTCTGATTAACTTCTGTTGAGCAGGTTAGGATTCATTTCTGGTGTACCTTCATTCTGAGAATTGTAATATGCGCCATCTGGAAAACGAAATATCAATGCTGATTGGTTCTGCCATTATTACATCACCCATCTGTGGCGTCATGATTACATTTGGTACCGTATTCAAATGGGTGTGACTTGGACATGGAAAGTCGAACGCATATTACCATTTTCATAAGAGAGGGCTGAGTTAGACATATGCTCTATTTTAATAAAAAGCTCATTGCCCAAGAATCTGCTGATTTGTTTGAGTATGTTTGCATTCAGGAAACAGGATATTTAGGATATAATTGCTTTTTATCAATCTAGGAATTCATTACTAGAGGCTTGATCCTGCATAGTCTGCTGAGTAGCAAATTGTGTCTCCTGTGTTTGCCTCAAGATAATGTGCTGAAGGCCCACATGTTGTTGTGTGTTCTTAAGAAACTTCATATCACTTTTTAAGTGCATTAGATCAGCAATAGGACATATCGCATGTGCATTCTGTATGTGAGATTTAAGTTAGTCCGAGATAATGGGCTCAATTAACGCACAGCCACTTCCTAGTTAAATTTTCCTTCGCTCACTTTTCACATCATTGTATTTCTGAAAAGGCAATGTAAACACACATTAACTAAAATGTGTAACCATAATTAGGAGATGAAAGTGGTTACCACACAAGTTGCTTAGGGTGAACGTGATGTCAGGAATCCAGTCCACTAGTCTTCACAGGACTTTGTACATTTTTGTTTTCAGGACTGGAACAATTGCAGCCTGGGCCTTTAATGGTGAGTGCAGAAGTAGTAATAGCAGCTGGAGCCTAACAAGTAAGTGCCAGTATGACCTGGAGCTTTTGTTGCAACTAAAATTCTTCTTAGGTTGCCAGCCATGTCATGTGGTTGAAAGGTGAAACACCAATAATCTTAAGACCTTGCACACCGTGTAGTGTATTGGAATATAAAACTGTTTGCAGTTTGAAGGACACTAATGCCAAACGCGTTTTGATCTCAAAGTGGTCATCATCATTGGCAAAAACAAGTTAATACTTATGACACAGATCTAAAAGATTATAATTTCAAATGTAAATAGGCCTGAAAAATAAAATAATATGTATACATACACAAGTTTACTTTATTGTAAAATTGCCTTTAAACATGACCAACCACTGAAGTTGTAAAAATGCTTTGTCATAATGTCTTTTTGCAAGGAATTCAGAACACCTGAAAGGATTACCATTAAATTTCAAATTACGGATTTTTCAGACTTTTCTGCACATTCAAATTCTTGTTAAAAATTGGCAACTATATGGGATCTATGGAATGTAATAAAATATGGATGTGTTTATGTATGGATTTTTATTATTCTCTGTGACCATAGGTAAATCAAAACAGCTGGTCCTTGCTTAGAATTTGGAGAGCTTTAACAAGAAAACATGGCGGTGAAGGCTACAGCGACTGAAAATCGTAATGATGAAGCAGCTCACCCAAGGGTTGAAGATGAATCCAGCGGGGTAAGACTTCCTTAACCATTACAAACGGTTTCTAGCAACGTTTTGTGTTTTATTTAAGTTAGTGTACAGGTAGCCCTCGATTTGCGCCGATTCAGAATAACGCCAATTTTGAAACCTGCAAGTCAAAAAGTGGAAAAAATTGCTTATAACCTTTTACAATGTTTCTCGTACTAATTCTTATACTAAATCGTAATTCTTACATCGCTGGTTTTGAATAAAAATTATAAATGCAGTCATCTCTGCAATTACGTATGTTTCGTTAACGCGAATTTGCTCCAATGAGATCGATGAATCGGTAAAAGCCGTTTGTGAAATGCAAAATTTTGCATATGCGAGTTTGCTCTCATGCAATTTCATTCCTGGTGCTTTAAACTTTCAAAGGACTAACTTAATCTCTGCGGAGGTCGCAGGGTTATTTTTGCTACGCAGTTTTCTATAGGTCGGTGTCTTACATCGCATAACAGCAGAGATGACTGTACACATCAATCACAAGAAAGGATCACAGTCAATCGCGGGGACCAACGAATTGTAAGTGCATAAAATATATTTTTTAAATTCCCTTTATTTTATTTACATTATTTCATAGATTTAAATGTATTTCCATTATATTACTCGTCGATGTTCGGGTGCTGGGAACACATGTAATTGATTACCCATTGATTTACATTATTAAAGAGTTTCAATTTACGCTGATTCGTCCAGGAACGCATCTCCGGCGTAATCGAGGGCTACATGTACAGTCCCTCAAATCAAAAAGCTGATCAGGTTATGATGAAATAACAAGTAAAATTTAGAAAACTTGTCCAGCCTTAACCTCTCAAAGTTGAACTGTGGCCTCTTCAATCTTTGCCTCCATTCATTTCTTATTTTTCCTTATTCCTAGAAATTTATTGGCATTCTCCCTCACAGCATCTCCCCACCTCTTTCTGGGTTTACCTATTCTTCGCTTTCCATATGCATGTATTGTCTCTTGAGTCACCTTTTTGGGTACACGATTATCCTCCATCCTAACAACATGGCCAGCCTACCGCAATCTCTTGAGCTTAGTAAATGGAAAATTTTAGGTCCTTGTACAGTTCACAAATTTCATAATTATACATAATTTGCCATTCTCCATCTACCAGCTTTGGGCCATAAATTTGTCTTAGTATTTTCCTTTCAAGGACATCCAACATGTCTTCTGAATTCCTTACCATGGTCCAAGGTCACATCAATAGGATACAATCGGTCGTATGATAATTTTGTGTAATCTCACTTTGTTATTTTGCTGGACTGGAAAAAGGTAACAGGGTCTATCTATTTTTATTATTCCCTGGATGTCATTCACGGGGCATTCGATGGCGCCACCGTTCTCCAAAGAGCGTAATTATCGGATTCAAGCAGGACTTTTGGATTAACAATTTATCGAAGGTTCAAAAAGTAAATCAAAATATTCTCGGGCAATCAGCCGCGTTAGCTGGTTACCGTAGTAAA